CTATAAAATGAGCTGGAGAAGAAAATGGGAAATGACTCCAGTCTTTTTGCCAAGAAAAACTCAAATGGAGTCACGAAGAGTCAGACATGACTGAAAAATGGCTGAACAACAATTACTGCAGAGTAGAAAATTGAATCCTATTTAGATAATCTTCAAGTCCCTCATGACTCTCCCTTTGTCCATTTTCAGGTTGAAAGGAAAGGGGGCCTTTTAATTTCTAAGACTTGAATAATCCTTTTAGGAAAAATTTATATTTATTTAGACTATAGCATAGATTATAGCATAGAATCATCTATAATTAAAATTAGATATTTATCAAAGTAAATGAACTAGTAGCTTCCCTGGTAAAGGGCTCTAAAACTGATCTTTGTCTTACTTATCTGAGGGCTTGCTCATTTGCCAAATTTGATAAACCCCAGGAGGTTCCTCTTGCATTAGACTACATTTGTGCTGGGACCCCCTACAAAGAATAAAGTCAGTCATCCTGGTGGGATAATTCTGCCACTCTCTTGTGTCCAATAGGGTGCTCCAGTTTCTCTGCTGGAGGCCTGGACTACAGTATCTTAATTATACAAGTTTCATTCACCCATGCACCAGAATTATCTGAGATTAAAACAGATGTAGTAAAAGAGGAAGGAAAATGTTGTTCTGTAACCTACTGTCATATTCCTATCAATTTAAGACTGGAAATTTCTGTCAATGTCAACAAGAATTTTAAATGTGTTAAGCACCTAATATATACAGAGCATTGTACTGGTCCTGGGAAGATAGAAAAATTAGATAAGATGTGATCATTGGGCTGGTGAAGTTTACAGTATAGTAGGGGAATAGGCACACACACAAATAAGTATACTGCAAAGTGATACATGAAAAGTAAATAAAAAATATTGAAACCAAGTCCTACTTGAGAATCATGTGAAGAAGGGTTCATTACTCACTGGAGGATCAAGGAAAGCTTCATGGAGAAGGTGGCATTAAAAGATAGATATGATTTCTTTCTTTCTTGGCAAGGTAATCAGGGTTAAGTGACTTGCCTAGAGTCACACAGCTAGTAAGTGTTAGAGGTCAGATTTGAACCCAAGTCCTCTTGACTCTAGGGCTGGTGTCCTATCCACTGTGCCACCTAGCTGCCCCAGATGGACAGGATTTATGCGGGTAGTAATGGGTGTGAAGTGGGGGTACACCTTTCTGATTATAGACAATGGGTTGAGCAAAATCATAGAGGAAGGGGACATACCATGGGGACATGTATGTGGGAGAGCAAGTAGTCCAATGTGGCTGGAGTGTAAACTGTGTGGAGTGAAGTAATATGAGCTAAAGCTCTAAATGTAGGCTCCTGCCAGTTTATGGAGATCCCCAAATGCCAGGCTAAAGAGTTTGAATTTTTCTCAGCAGGCAACAGGGTTTGATTTTGAACTGAGGGGTGACATGACGTGATCAGATATGTGTGAAAAAGGAAGGTTAATTTGGCAGTATATGAAGGAAAAGTATTATAATAATACAGTGAAAATTTGAATTTTTTTCAGTAGGCAAGAAGGAGTCATTGAGAAGTTTTGAACAAGACTGACATGATATGATCATATATGTGGGGAAAAACATGTTAGTCTGACAACAGTATAAAGGGAGATGTTGCAATAATCCAGAAATTATTAGGTGATAACGAGAACCTGTTTTAGGATAGCGGCAGTAGCAATGGAGAGGGATGACACACACAAGAGATTTTGGGGAGACAGAACTAATAGGACTTGGCAACTGGAGGTTAGGGAGAGAGGAAAATAAAATATAATGCCCAAGTTTCAGACAAGGAATACTATTAGAAATAGGACAAAAGTGGCGCAGTCGATAGAGAACCGGCCCTGGAGTCAGGAGGACTTGAGTTCAAATCCAGCCTCAGACCCATAACACTTACTAGCTGTGTGACCCTGGGCAAGTCACTTAACCCCATTGTCTAGCCAAAGGAAAAAGAAATAGGACAAAGGCACAGGTTGGGGTGGGGGAAGAGAATTGGTTCTGTTTTATCTTAAATATCAAATCACAGCCTGCACCTGCTTTTTCCTCAAAGAAAATTAGAACAAAAAACCGATTTCAAATTTTCAATTATCTAAAAGTAATCTCAGTCCCATTTACCAGGGGTACTCATGACTCTACTCTGAATAATAAAAATTTGCCATCAGCTTCAAACAGATGGCTATAAGTCACATATGTCTTTACACTGACTTTCTATCCAAATTCTCTGGCTATAGATGTCTGTGCTGTAATCTGATAACAGAATTCAGAAATATGTAGGGACACATTTGAACTTCTGGGGATTTGACCACTGGAATGGAATGTGCAGGCCATTTGACAGTCTTTATGCCATAAGGTTGAGTATCATTCATTACTCTGAATTACCAAATTCTATTGGCCTACAGTTGTTGCTGCTGCTGCTGCTGTTGTTTTATACTGACCTGAATTTTAGGTCAGACCTAAGATTGACAGTAAATTGGAAATTTAGCTGTTCCTCTGAGTATGAAAGTTTATTCAAATCAAGCTTAAGGTTAATCTGAGTACAATACAGAAAAGTGCTAAAAATGATAACATCTTTTCTTTCTATGGATTCAGCTGTGATGCGAACAACTTTTTTGTGATTGTTGTTCCAGAATCAGTCCACTCCATTGTGATTCTGTTAGACAAACTTCTTTGACGTTTGTAATTTTTGCAGTCTTCCAGAGGAAGATATGCAAATGACTTGTCTAGCAACCTGACAACATAGGAAGTTCTCTCTCTGGTTTTGTGACAGTTATCCAAGTTTGCTACTCGTCCATGTGGTACATGCTTTTGTGGTGGCTGACTCTTCTTTGCAGTTGCTTATCTGTCCTACAGACACATTGCTTCCTCCAAGTAGAATGGAAACACTTTGAAGGAAAGGAAGTTTTCCCTCTCTCTCTTCCTTCCTTCTTTTCTTTTCTTTCATTCCCTTTCTATCCCTGGCACCTATCACAATGCCAGGTGCTGAACAATAGCCAGCATGCTTAATAAATATTTGTTGATTTGAATGGAATCCTTCCTGTCATTCTCATATTCTGAGAGGAAGGTGAGTCCATACTCATCACTTAGAAACCTGCGGCAGAATCACTCTCTGTGTGACCCTTGAGGACTCTAGTTTGAATAACTCAGTGGGCTTTGACGGAAAGAGATTTCTTCTCACACCTTGCAAAGAGTCATTACAAATAGGCATTAGCCATTTGCCAGGTCGTCTCAATCTTAAATGACTGAAACCTTTGTAAATCTCTGGGGACAAGTTAAAGGTTCACCCACAGGCTGTTTTCAAAGCCAGAAATTCACTCGAGTTTGAACGGATCTGTTTGGGTTGCCCAGATTCCTCTCAGGACTCTCCGCCTAGCATGAAGCAGAGGATGTAGAGACAGTGAGTGGCCTTCAACCCTCTCCAGGTCTCCAGAAGAAGCTCGATATCATGGTTTAAGTGGTCTAATTTGCAAAGTCGAGGTGGGAGGGGGAGGCGAGGGGGAGGCAGGTGTGGCAAAGACCAGTGTATGAATGGGAGAATGTTCCAAGTGATTGCCTCGCTGGCGGGTGGGAGACGTAGGGTCGCTCTCCCGAGGAGGTGACGGGCGCACCCAGACGCTTCCCGCCACCCTCCCTTCCCCGCTCCCCGAAGCCTTCTCTCTGCATTGCTAAAACGCAGCAGCATCGCCCTCCAGCCCACTCCGGGGGGAAATGCACAGTGCAACCAACCCTCCAACGTGCCTGGGCTACGCCCCCTCGGCCTGCCGCCCGGTTATTGGCCGCGCGTCGATGTCACTCGACGTCCTAGTTTGCCATCCCCTCCTGGGCTGAGGAAGACGGGCGGGGTAGGTTGTGCGCGCCGCTCTCCAGCTCTGGCAGCTGTGCCTTTGCAGCAGGCTCAGGGCGGGTAGAGAGGGAGAGGGCGGGGGAAGAGGGAAAGGGAGCGAGAGCTGGGCACTCTGCGGGCGAGGCGCTGGCCGCTCCATGCGGGGAGGGGCGCAGCCGGGCAGGCCAGGGCTGGGGGGCTGTGGCCGGCGCCGAGGGCAGCCAAGGAGGATCTGCCCGGCTGGCTGCCCCATGCCATGCCCTACCTCTCCCAGGCGAGGCAGCGGGCGGGGAAGGATGCGCCGCCGTCCACTGCAGTTTGCAGTCCAGCTTTCCCTCTTGCAGCCCATGCCCTGAAGCAGAAAGTTTTGGGACCGTGGTCTTCCATCCTTCTTCCCCTCCAATGACTTTGCCCAAGGACTTCTGCTGCCCAGCGCTGACTGAGACCTGGCATCTGGTACCCAGATCAGAATGAATTGCTCCAGGCAGTGACCAAGGTTCCCTTATTCCTTCAGCACCCCCTTCTTTTTTCTTTAAATTTCAATCTTTTTGTTTTTTAAAACTCACTGCTCCTTTTCTGGGTGGGAAGGAGGGAGAACAGTTCTCCCTTAAGAGGCAGCGCTGGAAGGGACAGATCCCCAAACCGACCCATATTCACCATGAAGAGGTGCAAGTCTGACGAACTGCAGCAACAGCAGGAGGAGGATGGAGCCGGGCTGGAAGATGCTGCTTGCCACCTGCCGGGCCCGGACTTGAAACCTGGAGAGGTCACGAGTGCAAATCCTGCTGTGGCCCCAGCGACTCCAGATGCAGGTGCTGCCATGGCCCCCAACCCTGGCGCTAGAAGCAAGCCTCCGGATTTAAAGGTGAGCCTAGATTCTCCCTCTCCCTCCCTTTCTTGTCCTCAGGTCAACTAGAAACTGGAGGTGAAAGTGGAGAGGGAAGTTGAGGTCAGGGATCAGAGGTGAGCTACTGGTTTGAATCATAGATCATTAAATATTAAGAGTTGGAAAGGGCCTTTTAGGAATCATCTAGACTTCATCTTCCAAATGAGGAAACTGAGGCCCGGAAAAGGAAAATGATTTGCCCAAGGGCCCTGCCATACAGCTTAGGCATCAAGCCTCAGCTTTGTTTCCCCTGGCTATACATCAGACATTCTAGTGACTCACCCAGAGAGGAGGATCCCTGACATCATGTGTGAAGTACTTTTAGCTCCTTAGCAGCAAATACACTGGAGAAATTAAAAGTGTTAACATTGTCATAATTATCTCTTTTGGGCTGAGAGAAGAGGGGAGAGGAGAAGAGATAGGATTTGGGAATAATAATTAAAGACCAGCAGTCCATTCTTGAGCCCCCCTTCCCCCCCCAGTGACTTTGGAACTGATACCCTGGAGCTCAGTTTGCCCACCTGTGAAATGGGAGAAAGGAACATCTTGCCATTAGGTGGAGCCAGAGGCTAAGCTGGTGCTTGGAGATCCCTGATGTGATTGGGTAACAGACAGGTGGCGCAAGTGGTTCTTGGGAGGCTTCAGGGACTCGGTTCAAGTTGCACACATGCTGAGTGAGGAGCCCAGGACTGGAACTAAAGGAAAGATGTGTGTGCAATTAGCAGTCGTTAGCTTCAGGCCCGAGGTCCTTGGGACTGTTTCTCTAGTACTGAGTACTAATAACAGTGTGGCTAACAGCAATAATCAATAATAACGTGCCTTTAAGAAAGAGTGCCCCTCAGGGATGACAGGCACTGGCTTGTTCTCATCTTACTGAGGGATGTTGGGTTCTGGAAGAACTTAAGCATTGTGGAGACTGATGCTTCAGGGAGATAGCTTCTCTCACGGGGGTGCAGGGCCTGGGCTAGGAAAGAACAGAGGAATCAGTTACTTTAAATAAAGCCTGTAACCTATGGCAGCAGCCACTGAGGAGCTCTCCAGCAAAACCCAATGACACTCCTTATCTTGTGTGAGAGGACTGAAGTCAGAAAACTCTGGGGTAGAGGTGAGTATATTTAGAAACCAGTTCTCTTACCTGTATGTTACCTTTCTGCTTTTCTTTTGGGGGCGAGGGACGGGTAACAACAGGGTTGCTAACTTCATGTTGAATTGACTACTTAAAGAGAGAAGGAAAAACCTAATTGTTGTCAGCAGGAGGAATGGAGGGCAGACTGCAGGCAAGACCTCCTTAGGATTTGGGGCATATTTTTTTGGAAAAGGGTTTCAGCTGACCCACCCTTCATCTTAGCCTTTCCAGTGGCCTGATGACAGCCATATCCCAAAGTAGGATAGGTTTTAGATGGGGATGTTAGGATAAAGTCACAATCCAAAGGAAGCTGGAACCCTTGCTGCATAGCTCAGTAACCTTTTGCTCCTTTAATCCTAGTAAATAAACAACATTCTAAAATGGCCTTTTATTGACAATATGAGTAAGGTAAATGCCATCCTACAACCATAGGCTTCCTACTCCTTCTCTGCTGATCCAGAGGAGCCTGGCCCACTCTGCTTTCACAGACTTTCTTTCCTCAGCATTTCAAACTGAGAGAACCCTGTTTCCTTGCTGACAGTAAGAAACCCTCCTCATACCCTTAAGACAGCTTTGGAAATATCCGGTTGTCCAGGGCCAGCAACACTAGCCCAAGGGCACATAGTAAAGACTGCCAATTTCATTCATTTTATTCTGGTTATTATCTTCCTGGCAGAGAGTGAACTGATAACAGTGAGTGGGCAGTCTAATATTTTGTACTTATCAACAAGGCAGTCTTATGGCGACTTGTACCTCTTCTATCCACCCACATCTTCCCTAGCTCTCTGGCTGTTACTTTGCCATCCTCTCTAGTGACAGATGCATCAGCAGTTCTGTCCTTAGTATTAGCTGCAGTACTCCCTAGAGCAAGAATTTGTTTTGGGTGTGGAATAGAGGATGGGGGAGAGGGGGTGGGAGCCACTCAGGAAAACTACTACTGAGGTTGGTCCCAGCAGATTGGACTTGAGCCGTGAGCAGGCCAGATAAGACCCAAGCACCACTTACCTAGTGGGATCAAGAGAGGCAAGTGGACGATGCCTTTTCCTGTTTATCTCTGACCCTGTCATCACAACATGTTTACAGCTCTGTGCAATGACTGAACTTGGAATTGGGGCTGCCGATTTCTTACCTGAATTCTGTTTTTGATTTGCTATGTGATCATGGACAAGTTACAACTTCTCTGGTCCTTTTGTCCCTAGGTAAAGGGGCAAGGAATACTGATGGACTAGATTTAAAGCTCTGGAAACACTGTGCCCAAGTTTGCTTCCCAGAGATAGAGCTGGAGTAGTAGGGCAAGCTGCGAGGTGGGGTGGGGGGAGAAGAATTCATCATTAATCTAGGAATTCTGTTGGGTTTGACTCATTTCAGACCCAGTGATGAAAATGAAAGGAAGTTGATTTCATTTTTTTTTACCTTCTCACATGCCTTTTGTGAAGCCAGACTGACAGTTTGGTTCCAAACTTTTCTGATGAGCATCTATGTCTCTACTCCATTTTTTTTCAAGTGACACAGTTCTGAGTTGTGATAGATTTTCAAACATCTTGCAAAAGATGCTGAAAGATCATGTCCAAGGCACCCTCATTGGGGTGTGTTTTGGCTTTTGTCAGAAAGATTTGGATGACATTCCACTAGAGTCTTCTCCTAACTCTGAGTTCTGTAGACACTGGTGACCCAGCGGAAGGTTTCTTTAGCTGGAGGTAGGGTGATGGAGTGGAGGGGTGCTCTGGGCTTAAATTCAACTTTGGATTCCTTGATGTGTGTGACCTTGGGTAAATCACTTGATTTCTCTGAGTCTCAGTTTTTTCCTCCGGCAGAGGGGCATAGTAGTACCCATCCCATATCCCTCACAGGGTTGTTTTAAGACTCAAATGTACTGTATTCAGAGTGTTTGGTAAGCCTTAAAGCACTCTATAAATGTTAGCTCTTACTATTTTCTTTTGATTCTGTGTCTCCCCATTCCTTAATTCCTCATTCTTTTATAGTTCAATTCTAATGGGAAAGACTCCAGTCTATGATTATGGGCGGGGGAAAAAAGTCAAGCAATAATTTTAAAAGATAATAATATGAGGGGGGAGGGAATAAACATTTTTATAGCACATACCTTACAAATATTAGCTCAATTTGTCCTCATAACAATCCTGAGAGATGGGTACTATTATTATTCCCACTTTACAGTTGAGGGAACTGAGGCAAACAGGTTAAATGACTTGCCCAGGGTTACACAACTATTAAGTATCTGAGGCCAGTTTTGAACACAGGTCTTCCTGACTCTAGGCCCAATCTCTATCCACTGTACCACCTGTCTGCCTCAATGCGCTAATGTAACTGGGAAACTACCTTTGGAGGGTCATCGTCATTGATGTGGACCTGTCTGCAAATATTTCAGTATTTTTTGCAGCTATTTCATGTTCAGGGTGTCCCAAAAGTTTTAGTGCAGTTTTAAGCTTAAAACTACACTAAGGCTGTGGCATCTAGCCAACAACACCTGAGTACAGCAGGAACTAGATTAAAATGTAATTGGGAAATGTTTCACAAAATAAACAAAAATACAATACAGCATAATGTTAATTTCTGGTTTTCTAAGTCAGTATGTAGCCTGAAGGGAGTTTGGTGGTCCCCATTTCTATTTGACATCAGTGATCTAGGACTTCACAGAGAGATTTGGCAGAGCCCAAAGGACACAGGCACACCCCAGCAGTAAAGAAAGCTTTGTTCCAGGAGAGATCAAAGTTTGGCACTCTTTCTTCTCTCTCTCTCTCTCTCTCTCTCTCTCTCTCTCTCTCTCTCTCTCTCTCTCTCTCTCCTTCCTCTTCCCCCCACCCCCCCATTAGCAGCTGAAGTGATGAGAAGCAGAAACAGACTCAGGGCACATGGGCCTGTTTAAAAATACAGTGGTGATAGATGTTTCTGAGGTTTGTGGCATAGTGACTAATTCCACACTGGGTGCAAGAGAGGTTGTTCCTTCCTGAGACATTTTAGAGGTGCTACTCTAGGCCCCCACAAGGTAAAAAGTATTCTGGGCTGTTGGTACCCATCCCTCTGGCAGAAATACAAAATGTCCCAAAAATCTTGGTGCGATTATAATCTTTAATAGTTTAAAAGTTCACTAGGGCTTTTGGAATACCCTGTATTTGTGAGATTCTTCCATAAAGAAAGAGAAAGAAACCTTTTTGATTCACATTCCTGATTATGGATGAATTTTTTTGAAGTGAAAATTTTTATATTTTTTTCCAATTACTTGTAAAAAAATTTTTTTTAACATTTGTTTTTTAAAATTTTGAAATCCAAATTCTCTCCTTTTCTCCCTCCCCTTCCCCCTCCTTGAGAGGGCAAACAGTGTGGTATAGATTATACATGTGCAGATATGCAAAACATTTTATGGATGAATTTAAACCCCAGTCTCAGCCTACCCACTCAGCTGCCTTTCAGTATGTTGTCTTTTTTCTTCCATCCATACTAACATTCATTAGAGTCTTTCTTTGGCTCAGAGCAGAGGACAGAAAACATGGTAAGAAGCGGCACCTCTCAGGGAATTCCTAATAAGATCTTTTAGGCTCTTTACCCATGTTTGATCACAAGTCCTGTTCATGTACATAAATGTTTTGGCACTCATTGCATAGACTATATTAACTCTATTGTCTAGTGAAAACATCATTAGAGAACTTTGGGCCTAGATTATATTTCTAGCTTTGTCCCTAATTTATTTTGTCTTTGAGCGTGTCCTTTAATCTCTCTGTGTCTCAGTAGCTCCATCTATAAAATGGGAAAGATACTGCTATACAATTCAGATGGATGCAGTGGGAAACAAAGAATCATCTTGGGGTCGCAAGAAAAAGCCTATGGAAATCTGAGGTATGGGAGTTAATGGTCATCAGATTTCAGAAATGAAAGATATTATCTAGACTAGCTCCTTCCAGCTATAAATGAGGAAACTGAGGCACAGTGGTAAAGTGACTTTCCCAATGTCTTACCACTAATCCTTAGAGAGAGCCAAGACTATAAACCAGGTTTCCCGATGCCTCCCTTCTTTCCTATGTACCAGCGCTGTCTCTGTTCATCATTCATTCCAACAGGTACAAGTAGATAACACCAAGCAAGGCAGCGTGTGTGTGTGTGTGTGTGTGTGTGTGTGTGTGTGTGTGTGTGTGTGTGTGTGTATGTCTCTGTGTGTGTATGTCCTGGGCTTTGTGGCACCAAAATGAGTCTGAATTTGATGAGATTATGTGTAGAAAAGCATTTTGTGATTGTAAAGTGACACATAGATGTGAGTAACTATCATGATCATTATTAGTGTCTTCATGTGGTCCTGGAAAAGCCTTTGATATTAGTATTTTCAGGCATGGACGATTCTCTTCATCGACATAAACTGATGACAAGGTTGGGTTGCTGGGGGGGGGGGTCAATGCTAGGCTGCTTCCAGAATGGGGCAGATCAGTAAGGAAATGGATAATTCAAAGTAGTCCACAATATTTACTGACCATTTGTGTGTGAGGATCACTAGGCTCTGGGCTATAGGAAGATAAGAAGGAGAAGGAGGAGGTGGTGGCTTGAGACTGACACCCCCCCCCCTTCAGGCATTCTCAGTGCAATAGGAGAAAGAATATATGTTTATGAAAAATAAATTAGACTATGTAAGTATAAATAACCTGTTGTAGCTTATTATGGGGACCTCAGGACATCAAGAATGAAACATAAGTGGGGTTAACTACAGAAACTTTTCTGATAGAAGGAAGATTGGTTTTAGATTTTGAATGAGTGAAGGGATCCAGCTGAGCATGAAAGCACATGCCAGTAGTCCCTGATGCTGCAGAAGTGGAGACTGAGGCTGGTGGATTGCTTGAGTTCAGGAGTTCTGAGTTTCAGTAGGGCTAAAGCCAGTAAAGTGTCTGTCCTAAGTCCTACAACAAGACATTGAGCTCCCTGGAGCAAAGGGCCATCAGGCTGCCTGAGGATGGGGCAGAACAGCCGAGGTCTGACAGGTATGGGACTCAGCAGTGTTGGGATAAGGCCAGTGAGTTGCTGCTGCATTTCCAGCCTGGGCAAAATAGGGAAACCCAGTCTCAAAAAAAAGAAAGAAAGAAAGAAAGAAAGAAAGAAAGAAAGAAAGAAAGAAAGAAAGAAAGAAAGAAAGAAAGAAAGAAAGAAAGAAAGAAAGAAAGAAAGAAAGAAAGAAAGAAAGAAAAGAAAAGAAATACAAAAACACAAGAGAGTGGGAGGGAGGGGATGGGAGAGGGAAACTGAAAGGGGAGGATGACAAGAATTGTCCTTCTAAACAGGAGGTATTGGTTACCCCAAACAAGTAAATTTTAGGATACAGCAAATAAGCACGCTTGGCCAAAATGGTAGTTGTGCCATTCTTTCAGCAGCCATGCAAATGTCTAGTTGCCAGGGGCTAGTTACAAGACAACATTAGTGCTGCTGGTAGCTAGGTGGATAGAGTCCTGGACTTGAAGTCAGAAAGACTTGAGTTCAAATGTGGGCTCAGACACTTACCAGTTATGTGACCCTGGACAAGTCTTGTTCTGCCTTGGTCTCCTCATCTGTT